GGGTTTCCAGTGGATGCCACAGCAACCCAGAAGGGAGGGGAAAGTCTGGAACAACTGAACAGCTGGGCAAAGGCTTCTCAGGACGTAAAACACGTACTATAGGAGAGACATCAGACAAACCGGATTTTATAAAAATTCGAGACTTTTGTTCTTCTAGAGACTTGTCAAAAAGACAAGTCTTGGCCTGGGAGAAAATATTTGTAATATATACTCCTGACATAAGACTAGTGCCCAGAATATAATAAAGAATTTTCAGGGGCTGGCATTGTGGCAAACTGGTGAAGCTGCTGCCTGTGACGCTGGCGTCCCATGAGGCATCTGTTCTAGTCCCGGCTGCTCCACTTCTGATCCATCTCCCTGCTAATGTGCCTGGGAAAGCAGTGGAAGATGGCCCAAGTCCTTGGGCCCCTGCATCTGTGTGGGAGACTGGGAAGAAGCTCCTGGCTTTAGATTAACTCAGCTCCAGCCTTTGTGGCCATTTGGGGAGTGAACCAGCAGATAGAAGATCTTTCTGCCCGTTTCCTTCTCTGTCTGTAACACTACCTCTCAAATAGATAATAAATAAAATCTTTTTTAAAAAACTATGAAAAAGACGCATAAAAGACCAATATTACTTGAAAAGATGGTCAGCATCAACATGCTTCAGGAAAATGTAAATTAAGACCGAAGGGAGATGTCCCAGCATGCTATGCAGAATGTCTAACATTTAAGATCAGCAAAAGGACTGGCGAGGGCGTGGAGCAGCTGGAAGGCTCAGACGTTGCTGGGGGGGGGGGACTGAAGCAGCCCAGGCACTCTGGAAAGCTAGCAATTCCCTAAGAAGTTAAACACAACGTTAACTGTGCAGCCCAGTGAGTACGTCCTGCGGGGGAGAACTGAAGACATAGCCACACGAAGATCTACATTCCTAACAGCTCCATTCACATTCCTAACAGCTCCATTCACATTTCCTAACAGCTCCATTCACACCGCCCAGGCTAACTCAGAAAACAAAAGCCAAATGTCCATCAACGGGCAAATGAGTGCATCAAACGTGAAATGAAAAAAGAAGAAAAAACCAAGATGCTGTGAGGGGCAGGTGTTTGGTGCAATGATCAAGGAACTGCTTGGGTAGGCCCGCCCCCACGTCGAGCACCTGGCTCGGGTCCCGCCTCTACTTCTGACTTCAGCTTCCAGCTGGGGCGCATCTGGGAGACAGCAGCTCTCTAGTCCTTGCCACCACAGGGGAGACCTAGACGGAGCTCTGGTTTCCGACTTCGGCTTGACCCACCCCCAGCTGGTGAGGGCGTTTAGATCCTCTAGCAGATGGAGGATCTCTCTCTATCTCTCTCTCTCTCTCTCTCTCTCTCTTTCTCTCTCTGGCTCCTGGCTTCAGATCAGCTTGGCTCCAGCCTTTGTGGCCATTTGAGGAGTGAACCAGTGCATAGAAGACCTTTCTCTCTGTCTCTCCCTCTCACTGTCTGTAAATCTCTCTCTCAAATAAAGTGCTGGCAGTGGCTGGTGAGGGCTGGTGGAGATGGAGCAAGGTGGGTGGACCCTGTAGGTGCTTACCTGGGACCATGTCCTGCGGCTTGGGGAGAAGACCGGACTACGGTTGACTTTAGGTTGAATCTAAGATTATGGCTCAGGGATGGCATGGAAGAGCTCCTGTGTCCCAAGACAGCAACGCTAGAAGAAGGCTGAGGACCCTCCAGCTCAGCTAGGAACGCACGGAAACTCACGAATGACAAGGCCCCCAGGCAGCCGGACGGGGGCATGGGAAGCTCAGAGACCCAGGGTGGAGGCGGCACTGGGGTCGCGAAGGCAGCGTCGGAGGCTGCACGAGTAAATGCAGGAGACTAGGCAGCGAGCGAGCAAGAGCAGCGGGTAGGGAGGGGCAGAACCCAGAACCAAGGGAAGTATTCCCAGGCTCACTTCACTTCCAAAATCCAGAGCACAGGGAGAGGAGGGGCCCGTAGAGGAAGTGAAAACAGGACCACAGGGAAGGGACAGAGACCGCAAGGGCGCCCCCTACTGGAAGCCCTAGAGAGAGGCTGCTGCTAGAAGGATGTGGAAATGGGGTTGGATACTAACAAACAGACAGAAGACACAATGTCTACCACGTGGACACTGCCGACCTTAGGAAGAGATGACTGCGTGGAAGAATTGGGACAGAGCCCTCGCCAGTGTAGACCGGGGGGTGACTGGGCGATAGGAAGTGGGGACGGTGATTATACAGAACTTTAGATCTGGCTTCAGCCTCCTTTTTATATCATATATAAATATTTATATCATATATAAATATATATAAATATATATATTATATATATAAATATATATTATATATATATTTTTTAATGATGACAAGAGAAGGCTGAACATGTGAGAAATTGCCAAGGGGCTGATGTTGTGGCGTAACTGGGTAAGCCGCCACTTGCAATGCTGACATCTCCTATGGGAGCCCGTTCTAGCCCCGGCTGTTCCACTTCTGATCCAGCTCCCTGCTGATGCACCTGGGAAAGCAGCGACGTCCAGATTCTGGACTCTGGGGTCTGGGCTAGAATGAATGAATGAATGAATGAAGGGGCAATCAATGCGGGGGGCGGGGCGGGGTGTGCTCCACAGAAAGACCAGATATTCCGGGGCAGGCACTGGGTGCAGCGAGATGTCATGTGGGACACGCACGCTGCACAACATAGTCCCTGAGTCTGAGGCCTCCCGCTAATCCCCACCCGAGAGCCAGCAGTGATGGCACAAAGGCTTGTGTCTCTGCCACCCACACGGGAGATTCCAAATGAGGTTCAGGCTTCTGGCTTCAGCCTAGCCCAGCCCCAGCTGGCAAGTATTTGGAAGGTCCCCCACCGTGTGTGTGTGTGTGTGTGTGTGTGTGTGCGCGCGCGCGCGTGCGTTTGTCCGCCTCGCAAATAAATGCATCAGGCCATAGATAAAACAGAGAGCCATCCCCTAAGTCAAAAGAAAACAGTGTTGTGACTATCCTTGCTTCCTCGGGTGTGTGTTTAATTTTTTTTTTTTTACAGGCAGAGTGGACAGTGAGAGAGAGAGAGACAGAGAGAAAGGTCTTCCTTTGCCGTTGGTTCACCCTCCAATGGCCACCGCAGCCGGCGCACTGCGCTGATCCGATGGCAGGAGCCAGGTGCTTCTCCTGGTCTCCCATGGGGTGCAGGGCCCAAGCACTTGGGCCATCCTCCACTGCACTCCCTGGCCACAGCAGAGAGCTGGCCTGGAAGAGGGGCAACCGGGACAGAATCCAGCACCCCGACCGGGACTAGAACCCGGTGTGCCGGCGCTGCTAGGCGGAGGATTAGCCTATTGAGCTGCGGGCCGGCCAGTGTGTTTAATTTTTAAAAGAAGTATTTTGAGAGGCAGAGAAAGAGAGAGGGATGCATCAGATGGAGATCTCCCATGCACTGGTTCACATCCCAAACCCCCACAGCAGCCAGAGCTGGCCTCTTAGGGAGGGAACCAGACACAGAGAGACCTCGCCCAACTCCATCCCACCTCCCTCTGCCTCTCTAATACAGAATAAAGAAAACAAAGGAGTTTAAGGAGCTTCTAGCCTGGAGTACACAAGAGAGGGGGAAATAATGGGAAAAAACAAAGATGCTTCAGAGTTTGGGCCCAGCACAAACAGGGCAAACAAGGGCGGGAAGGGGGGGGTGGAGCCGAGACCCACTCCCCAGGGCCACCTGCATTCCTGACACTTTCCCACAGCAGGTGGCCAGACCATCCTGAACTGAGCCAGGGCTTCAGCCGCACAAAGGTCTTGGATAGTAGAATTCAAGGATACCTTTGCTTTGGTGGGAAAAATTTAGAAATCTGTGCATGCAAGGGATCTTCAAAAAGTGTACGGAGATGTGTATTATGAAAAAAATTATGCATGGCTTTCCATGGTTTTTTTGATACCAAAATAAATGGATCTTAATTTATCTCCCCGGATTTTTTGAAGCACCCTGCCGAAGGCGACCTCACAGAAATCCTGGCTGTCAGTGTTCCCAGGCTCACTTCACTGGAAAGGAAACTGAAGCTCAGGAAATTGATCACCCGAAGGTCCCCGTGAGGGGACTTGGATCGGGGCCCACATCTGCCCGACTCCACATCCCACACTATTTCCAGCAGAACAAGCCGCAAGCTAGGAAAAGCCAATTTGTTCCAACTGAAAGGCCCAGAGAAGTCTGCCGGAGACACAGGGCATGAGATCACATAGAATGTAAATAATAATAATAATCCATCAAAGGAAGTGGGAAATCTCTTTTCTAAGAAGAGTAGAATTACAGAAGAAATCGCCTAGCAAAGAAAAGAGGAGACTCTGGCTTGGAAAGTGAGAAATGAAAATGCCTGTGATTGAAAAGAAAAAACCAGGAACTAGGAAGAGACAAATCTGTGCTTGGAAGTCAGAGCCAGGATCTCTAGGGAGAGAGCCAAGGAGCCAGGGCCTTCTGCTTTGGGTTCGCGAGGGAAGCGTGTTCACCGCTGACCTGCCTCTCTCGGGTCACATGACACGGGCTGGTATAAAGCCAGCAGCCAGCAGCCAGCAGCAGTGGCTAAGGCTCTGTCCCTCCTTGCTAGGAGCTTCCAGACTTTTCCTTCAGGACTAACTCCCCGGAGTCATCTCTCTGGAACGCAGGCAGACAAGGCAAGGCAGCTAGCTCGGGGCACGAGCTCTGGAAAGAGATGGTGGGCTCAGAATTCGTGGGGCGGGGGAGAAGTTGGGTGGGCTAGAGGAATCTGTCACACGCACTGCAGTTGGGGGCTCACACCCAAGACGGGGAGCGGAACCTGGACTGGCCACGTGTGGAAACTGAGGCACCCCAGCAAGAGGAGGGGCCAGACAGTTGCGGCCGTGGGCTTTTCTGGACGTCTCTGTAAGGGCTTTCAGGGACAAGCCCCAAAGCACAGGACTGGCTCACCCTTCCCCTTCTCCACTTTTCCCCGGCTTCGTCTTTCCAGAGAGTCCCCTGGGGCTGCTGTTGGACAGGGCTGGACACAGCAGCGGAGACTCCGTGCGGTGCAGGAGACGGAAGGGAGAGCAGCCGGTGCCCCTGAGTCCCGCCTTCCAGCTCTGCTCGGCCCTCATGCTGCCGCCTTTCTCTCCTGCAGGTCTCCAAGCTGGAATGAGCCTGCGGCGAAGTTGGACGCTGTGACCAGCAACTTCCCATAGCTGTGAGGGCACAAGGAGAAAGGCCGGGCAACCTGCAGGGGGAATTCCCTCAGGCAGCCGAGGGCTGGTTTCCCCCAGAGACACAGGATGGCAAACGTAATTACTGCAGCCTAATATCCCGCCCAAGGCAAAGTCAATAATTACTCTGGGCAGTTCTGGCAGGTGGCGGGAGCGGCAGAGCGCTGGAGCCCGGGCAGCGGTCTGAGCACCAGGGAGGATGTGCGCGTCCTGATCCCCAGGAGGTCCGCCGGCTGGGAGGGCCCCCCTACCCCGCCCCTGGCCCCGGCCCCGGCCCCGGCCAGGCCCCGACCCTGCCCTCTCTCCCAATCCTCCTCCAGGATGAGGCTCGACCTGCACAGTTCCTTGATCCTCACGGCCTACATCATCATCTTCCTCACTGGGCTCCCCGCCAACCTCCTGGCTCTGCGGGCCTTCGTGGAGAGGGTGCGCCAGCCGCAGCCGGCCCCCGTGCACATCCTGCTGCTCAGCCTGACGGTGGCCGACCTGCTGCTGCTGCTGTTGCTGCCCTTCAAGATCGTGGAGGCCGCGTCCAACTTCCGCTGGTACCTGCCGCAGGTCGTGTGCGCGCTCACGGGCTTCGGCTTCTACAGCAGCATCTACTGCAGCACGTGGCTGCTGGCGGGCATCAGCATGGAGCGCTACCTGGGAGTGGCCTACCCCGTGCAGTACAAGCTCGCCCGCAGGCCTGTGTACGGCGTGATCGCCGCTCTGGTGGCCTGGATCATGTCCTTCGGTCACTGCACCGTGGTGATCGTGGTGCAGTACCTGAACGCCACCCAGCAGGTGGGCAGCCGGAACGAGATCACCTGCTACGAGAACTTCACGCAGGAGCAGCTGGACGTGGTGCTGCCTGTGCGCCTGGAGCTCTGCCTTGTCCTCTTCTTCATCCCCATGGCCGTCACCATCTTCTGCTACTGGCGCTTCGTGTGGATCATGCTCACCCAGCCCCACGTGGGGACGCAGCGGCGGCGCCGGGCCGTGGGGCTGGCCGTCGTGACGCTTCTCAACTTCCTGCTGTGCTTTGGGCCTTACAACTTCTCCCACCTGGTGGGCTTCTACTTCAAGGAAAGCCCCCCGTGGCGGGTGGAGGCCGTGGTCTTCAGCGCGCTCAACGCCAGCCTGGACCCTCTGCTGTTCTACTTCTCCTCCGCCGCTGTGCGCCGCGCTTTCGGCAAAGGGCTGCGGCTGTTCCGGAACCCGGGCTCCTCGCCCCTGGGACGCGAGGGCAAAGAGACGGCGGAGGTGACGAGAGGGGACAGGGCTGGGAGTCGGGCGGAGGGAATGGCGACTCCGGACTTCATGTCGGACTAGCGGTCTCCCTGGACCTTCGGCAGCACCCTGGAGGGCACAGGGGGTGGGCAGCCAGGGTGCGGGAGCAGGAGGTGTCCCGTCCCAGTTTCGGGAATCCTGGGGCCTGATCCACCTCGGGGACTGGGTACAAGGCTCCCTTGCCAGCTTGGTATCCCTTCCCAAGGACACGAGAAGAAACGGTTAGGCGTGGAGGCACCGTCAGGCTAGGGCTTCAGGAGCCGTTAACCTGAATTCAGTCCTTGGGAGGGGGCTGGGGGCTGGGATGACCAGACAGGGGCAGCGGAGGGGCCTAAAGGATCTCGCCCCAAGCTTGGGTATGACGCCCAGACGCTGGTCTCGCTGCTGCTGCTGCTTGGAGAAAGCCAACGGGAGAGAGATGGTTGGGAAATACTAAACAAAAGCAAGAGCCCAAAAAGGTCCTGAGCTAAGGGGACCAGAAGGGAGGGCTGGGGGCTTAGACCGACCTCTAACGCGGTTGGGGTTCAGGGTACCAGTCTGACCCATTGCTCTGCTCATTTTCGAGTGTTGTGTTCTCCCATCCCCCACCGGTGGGTGAGGTCTGGGTCTCATCTGCCTCCGGGAAGGGGCTGGGCACCCCCTAGTCTAACGCTGACCCCGCCTAGTGCAGGAAAAGCCACCTGGTCTGGGAGACTGAAATAAAGACACTAAACCTCTCCAGCGAGTGGCCCCGTTTTGTAGCATTTCTGTAAGCACAGGGAAGGCAGAATGGGGGGGAGAACTGGACGCAGCTGCGCCGGGGAAGGCAATGCCTCAGAGCCCCCAGGAACCTTGTAAGATGAGAGCATAGTGAGGGTGAAGCAAGCCCCCCGTACCCAGGGAATCCCAGGCACACCGAGGAGGAGCTGGACTTGGAAAGAGGATGCGGGGGAGTCCCGGCTTCAAGTTCTGATCTGTCAGGGGGAGCTTAAAGCACGTTACCACCCCACCCCAGGCTGAAACCTGCAGTTCCCTAGCATCGCAAATCCCAGCCAGGATCTCTCTCTCCCTCTCCCTCTCTCTCTCTCTCTCTCTCTCTCTCCCTCCCTCTCCCTCTCTCTCCCCCCTTTCCCTCTCCCTCTCTCTCCCCCCTTTCCCTCTACCTCTCTCTCTCTCTCACTCTCTCCCTCACCCTCTCTCGCTCGCACTGTCTGTCTCTCTCTCTCCCAGTAAGCACGCTCTCGATCAGAGAAAATCGCTCGGACTCAGGCTATATAAATATAGGGAGGAAGGGTGGAGAGGGAGGGAAAGAAGGGGAATAGTGGGTGGATCAGGAAGAAGGCTGAGAGAGAGAAAAGATGATAGGTGAGGGT